ATCTGATCTTCAGTATAGAGCCAGCGAAGACAGCTGTTGATAAAGGTCTGCAACAGGCTGTTGGAAATATTCTTTGTGACACACTGACCAAGTTTCTGATCCGTATAGAAGAACTGACTGACTTGACGTTTGTATTGAAAATCCGAATCACTTTGTTGTTGATGCTGAGTTGAGTGACGAAGATTTCCAGATTGGTTTCAGGTTGATGAATGTGTTTCTCGCCTTCCCGATTCTCGATTTGACACTCTCGTCCCTCCGTTCCTCCTGTAGTTGAGACAATGCTCCCTAGATGAGTGAATGAAGTAACCTCTTTCAAATCCCTCACATTGATGGTGATTGGCGCTGGATGCTGCTGCTGTTGTTGGTTGGTTATTTTCATCATTGAATATATATATAATTACGATTATACTGCAGCTTATAAGAGTCAATCGTCGAAAAGGAAATTTTCTTCGCTATTCACGTCTTTTTCTTTTAAAAACTCAATATGGGAATATTTAGTTCATTAAAAGTGGAATGCAGATGCAGTAACTGACAGGATGAAAAAAAACCCACGTCAAATGAATTCTTGTGGACTAAGCCTGACTTATTGAAGGAGGAGGCGAACAAGCATGTACAATTGATTCAAATCACTAACTGGTATTGTCTTTCTTAATTTCTTCAATGGAAAATATCAATTAGCTATAAACGAACTATGTCATTCATTAGCTTAAGTATATTCGGGAAGAAGTGTTTCTTAATTACTTCCTAGGGTTATTATTTAGACCACATGTCTTAAATCATGAGGTAGTATATAAACTATTAACTTACTAATAACATGGAGTTTTTCTGCCTAAAATGACTACCTTCCAACTTATTATTCGCTTCATTATTGACTCATCCTTTTTAGGAATGAGATTATAATAATGAGACTCGTAACCGTATACATATATGAAAATATATCTGCTCATATGATGGGGTGTACATGTTGTACTTACTTACTAACAGTCATATGGTTAAGAAAAAAAATAATCGTCTCTAGGAGGTCTAATTGGGATGCAGATAATAAATGGGAGGTAAAAGCATTATACTATTTATTGAATATCTCTCCTATGCCTATGTGACGTTTTAGAATAAGAAATCAGAAGGCAAGCAAGAAAAGAAATATGAACGAACTTAATAATATAACATGCTAAGCATAGATTTTTTTTTGTTGTTGACTGCTTCATACGCTATTCTACCCAGTGTTTTACTCTTAAATCCGTGATTTCTATCTACGGGTTTTTATTAAATGTAACACAGCGGACGACAATTCGAAGACTTCTTTGGAAAAAAGAAATATATCAGGCACGTGAAACTCCTGTTGTACTGGATGTGTTTAGCGATTAGAAGAAAGAGAACAAGAGAATAAATACACTGCTTAACTACGTCAGATATTAAATGTCTCTTAATATATGTGTAAAACATGGGCACTGTGGTAGTAAGTAATTCCATATTAGTTTGTTTATTAGATGTATCACACAGTAGTAAAAAAGGTTTTACTTACTGGACGACGTTTCGAACACAATCTATTATTGTTCATAATCATTTCATCAATTAGAATCACACGACTTCGAAACTTGAGATTTGTAGTTTTCTTTGTTCTCTCCTATTTGTCATCGTTGGGGTAGTAGAATTTTCCAGATATCTGGGACAGGTGTTGAATCATTCCTATTACACGTATTCTCTCTCAGTTGATTCGATAAACAAAGCTTCCGTTATCAATCTCTCCCTATACCCTGTGACACTAGATTTCAAAACTGTCATCTTATCCCATCCATCCTATATATATGGATGTGTGTACTTGCATGTGGTGAGCGGTATAGCTGAACTATTCTCTAGATTTCTTATCTTATTCCGGTCAACTAATCTAGATTTTGCTTAGTTTTTATGTTCAGCTAATCTTACTGTCTTTGTTCTACTATTTTGACCTATGTATTTGACGTGACAATCATTCCAGTAGGGTATTGGATAAACTAAATTGTTGTTTTAAGGGTCCACAGGATTGATCCTTTAACCGACAAAGCTTGTTTCTAATTGAGTTTGTGGTTAGTTTGAATGCCAACCACTTTTATTTCTGCCTTGTTAAGAATCATGCCTAAGGTTTCCGAGGTTCCTTTCTTGTATGGAAATACTACTGATGATTTAGATTCCTTATTGTTAGTGTTGTCTTGCGCATATTTGAAACCCTCTGACAATCAAACCCAGGACATGAGTTCTCGCAGTATTGCAGATATACCTTACTGACGAGTGCTAGCATACATGAAACCTAGATGTAAGGCTTCCTAACGATTGCCTCCAACAATCTAATAACACTAGACCGGAGTGCACCATGATGGCGAGCTACCTAGAATGGTGGACACACATTGCAAACTTGACATAGAATTAGGTTGGAAAAGAGTGAGCTAGTAGTAGTGGTCAAACCAAAACATGGCCTTATTAGTCAATGGAATCCACAACAGTTAGTTTGAGCCAGCTACATAGGAAGGTGTAGACTTTCTGACTGGTTGGGGTCCTCGGGATGGTAAAAACCAATGGAGGCTGGAGACAATTGTTGTTAATGGCTGGCTCAGATGCATTAATTTATCATACCCAATAAAACTTTTTATTGTTCTTCCATATTACTATTCTTTTTGCCTCATATTTCTGTTTATGATCTCCCCTTTTGTTGAATCACTGTTTACTCTCTTCTCTCGCTTTAAGTGCTACATGGAGTATGGCAACTCGAACTGATGCACTTCTGTGCAAAGTTCAGTGTTGAAACCAGTCAGTCAAAATTGACTGTAGTAGAATCCAGCCTGCACCAACACAAAGGACTAGATGCATGACACTAGTTACTCACTACTTAGTGTCCAATCAAAGTACCCAATAGTGTCCTACAGTAGATCAATCGTGAGCCTCAGTAGCTCAATGATAACGTCTCTGACTGCTGATAGCACTGGGCGACGCGGGTTCAAATCTCAGAAGGGAGATGAGTTCCTTCAATATGATTGCAGATACACCTTGCTGATTGACTGATGAGTGCCTAGGTCAAAGGCTTCCTGTAGCCGATTGTCTCCAACCATCTAATATCATCAAATCAATGGGTGCACCTAGAATGGTGGCCACATTGCGAACCTGACTGACAGAATTCAGTCTACACCAAAGAAAGGGCTAGACACGCCACACTAGTTACTGAATAGTGTCTAATCAAAGTATCGAATACAGTACAGTAGTCCTACAGGAGATTAATCGCTAGTTCCAATAGCTCACCAACTGCAACACTGAGTGACACGCGTGCACATCTCAGAAGGGACATGAGCGAGTTCCTTCAAGACTGGAGATACACTTGACTGAAAATGTGCCAACAAGTATAACAACATGGGTGTGCAAGGTTTCCTATCAAATTGCATCTAAGAACACTTAAGTTGATAACCCAATTTAGTGTCCAGTCATCAATGGCTGGGAAAAAAACCCAACCAAATGAACTCTGTTTGGTGGTAAATGTTTATATTTATATATAGTAGTAGTAGATTAATTGAAACAAAAATATATTCAAGCTGTGAAGTAACAATCAAAAACAGAAACAAAAAATAAAATAAATAAATAATTAGGTAAATCATTGAACATTATTTGTTGATGCGAGAGAGCATCGCTTTTCACTTCGCATCTCCTTGATAATCAAACAAAACGCACAGAAGTGTACAACAACATTCTTACAAGAATGGAAAGAAAGAGAACATAGCGCGCCAAAAAAGGAAACGAAAAATACAACAATAGCAACAGCAATAACAAAATATAGTAATAAAATAACACACAAAAATGAACTGAGAAATCAAGTGGATTTCAGATGATGATTATACATATATAAGGAATCTTATGTCACATTGTGATTGGATCAATAAATGATAAATAAACAAAATAATGCCATGTTATACACATTAAGCATAGAAAAATAGGGGAGAAGAGACGCCGAACAGAGAAGAGAATGTCACTACAACACTCACAAGTATAATTGAGTAACAATCAGAAGACATTATTATTATTGTTATTATTATTACTGCCCGATATATATATGTATATAAAGGGTGGACAATTATTATCGAGGTCAATGCAATGACACAACGACTGGGGCGGGGTGTGTGTGGCTTATAGGCGGTAGGTCACTCTGTAAAGGGATGGCGAAAAAAGCGTGGAGAAGCAATGAGAAACAATAACGGTGCTACGCTTCTTTTAATTAGCCTACTCTGCACAAAGCGAAACATCTCTCGGAGGAAGAGAAGGCTAACCAAGAGGAAAAAACAACGCCACTAGCCAGATTAAGAAACCAGCCTGTATTTGATTGTCTAATACGCAATAAATATTCACAATGTAAAAAGACAACTACAAAATAATTACACACGCATACACACACATAAAGAGTAGTAATCTGGTCTCTAGACAATATCATCTTTGTCACTTTGACTGCAAACAGTGGATGAATTAACAAGTAAAATGCCTTTATAATATATAATTAGCTAGGAAAAAGATACGAAACAGGTGGAAGCAATGAAGCCAGAAGGTGAGAACCAAGCAAAGTGTATACACAATGGCAAACACAATGGAGGCCAAAGTAACGCGTGCGAGGATACAAGTGTATATGCATATGAAGACGACGTTGTATGCAGTAGAAGAAAGACAACAGCAACTGAAAGTCAGACGAGGCTCTTCGCCACTCACTCACTCAATCTGTCTTTCTCTTAAAAAGACAACAACAATAACAACGGGGAATACTTTAAAAGTTGATATTTAACAGAGGATAGAAAAACAACAATGTAAAGTGTGAAAATAACAAACAAACAAACAAACAAAAAACAATTAATCAAACAACACCAGCTGAGTAAAATACTGATTGTTAACGATCTTTGAAGACTTATTCTTTCGTCTTTCGACTCAGAAATAAGCATGTTATAAGGATGAGATTCATTATGACACAGAGAGGAAGGAACAAGGATGCTCATCTCAATTCAACTCTTTGTCATGAATGCAGAACTGAAATGTAAAAGAACAAAAAACTTATGAGAAATACATACACGGTTTATCCGTTAATTCAAATAACTTTGAATATATATAATCTGTAGAACAAAAGGGATTAATCAATTAATTCACCGATACGTTTACTTCCGAGCTTCAAAAATATATAAAAGATTAGTTCGTTTTTCTTAAAAATTCCTTTACGATCCTAGTGGATCACAGGGGCTTCAAGCTAGAGACTGGAAGTTTCACTAGCAATGGTGTTTATTTTTACAGAATGGGGTTGCTAGGCCTCATGCTCAACCTTCCCTAGTTAGCAGTCTTATTACTGGATTAGCGAGGCAAAGGAGTGCATCGGTGGCCGGGGATCGAATCCCGGACCACGTGAGTGGTTGGCGAGCATTCTCTACTGCTAAACCACCAATACAACTTGAAAGAATATTAGTGAAAAACAGTTTATTTTTTCTAATTAATCAAGACTTGAATCGTGACCAGCGGGGTTCACCAAGTTGGATGAGAAAACAACCCATACTCGGCAGTGAATATAGCTGGCGGTCGGTCTTGATGTTTTGTTTTTTGTTTGTTTTCGACATAGAACTTTGCACCGATTTGCAACAGTTCAAATCACCACACTCCATGTAGCACACAAAGCAAGAGAAGAAATGCATAACAGAGACAGTAAACAGAGATATGAGGCAGAAAGAATAGTAATATCGAAGAACCATATAGCTTCATTGGACATTATAAGTCAAAAGGAATGGATGTATCTGCGCCAGCCGTTGAGAACGATTCTGAACCATTTCACCAATTGTCTACAGCCTCCATTGGTTTTTACCGTCTCGAGGACTCCAACTGACTTAAACTAACTGTTGTAGATTTCATTGACTGGTGACATGTTTTGGTTTGACCACCACTCGCCAGCTCTTTTCCAGACTGACCCTATATCAGCTAAGATTGCCCGTAGTCGAGGAAGGCGATGGATGACTAGGCATATGTAACACATGTCCCAACCACCTCTCTCATAGATGTCGCTTCATAGGAAATTATTAGAGGAAGTATTGTAGTCAGTTTCAACAGTATCCCAGCAAAATTCATGGTATAGTAGTAATTCTGAGAGTAAGTATTCAAACTGTCTTGAAAAGTATTTCCAAAATGGATTTTGTAGTCTATTGCGATGTTCGATGATAATGGTAGTGTTATAGTGTGTCATAGATATGCAACAAAAATGATGATTGGATAGGAAAAAATAGCGTATTGCGCAAAAAAGCAGTTAATATTTCAACCGGTCATTAGGCAACATCGAATATTTAAATTTTTTCCTAGGTTAGTCAACAACTGATGGGAAAAGTGTCAAATTTTAAAATAAAGTGCGTGAGATATCAAAAGGTCACCCGGATGTTCATACATTCGACATGAACAGGAATATTTTGTCCTGCTTAGAGACCTGAAAGATAACGAATGGAAGCGACGTCGCCCTGTTGATTATTAGGATGCTCAGTACTTCCTGCTTACAATCAGAAAAGGTTAACCCTGGTGTGAAATACCTGGACAGGCTTTTACAGTTTGGAGTTAAATAAAGCAGCTCAGGAAATAAGTGAAAAGTCACATAAAAATAAATGTCTTTTTAGGCCTGTGGGGTAAGACTCCTAGTTCGACACGACTACCAATACTGATACATATTTTTTTTCTGAAAAAGTTTCAAAAGGCGAATTTTCAGATAATGTGGGGATAGAGGAACATCAACAATTCACTAATCCCTGACAACTTTCCAGATGCTTCTAATCATCAATTACTTCTCTTTGTTTAGAAAAATTTCCACACTTCTGCAACGAAACTGATTATTTTCCCTTCAGGTATAAGCTTAAACAATACACGTTTTTCGTTATTACTATTCCTTTGTCTCTCACCTCTGTTTACTGTCTATATTATGCATTTCTTCTCTTGTTTTGTGTGCTAAATGGAGTGTGGCGACTTGAACTGCCGCACATCGGTGAAAAGTCTTATGTCGAATACAGACAGACAGACCTTGACGTGATGGTCGGGCTTGCACATCAGGATGACCTAACAAGCTGCACTGGCTGGAACCAATGTTCCTACAGGTCCTACCATGCCAGGAAAGTTGTTAGGATAGCGAGTAGACTAAAAGCAGTTACCGACATTGTGTAAGAATCTTTCTTACACTATGCTGGGGGTCTGAGGGCGAAGTCGTACTGCTGGGGAACAGGGGTGTAACAGCAGTGAGGTGTTTCCCTCAGATGACCAGCATGCCAGCTATGCTGTCTCTCCACTTCGGAGAGAGGGAGTTAGAAAAGGTCGACCCCAAAAATTGTACATCCCGACTTACCCTACGGTGGTCCGGAACCAGCGGTAAGTTTACTAATACGGAACCAATCCCAGAAACCAGTTCATACAGGCCGTGTGTGACTGGCCTGGCTCAAGCAGTTGTCCCCTGGGCTCTACGGTCTCGCAACGCTAACCCTCTCTCTCTCTGTTTCAGGTACCCGAAGAATCAACCAACTTCCACGAGGTGGGCAACCGGGAAGTAACAACCGCCTACACACTTCCAAAAGCACGCGAAGCCTTCCTGAGCATCATTCTCCTCTACCCACATCACCTTCATCATCTTATTCCCCTACTACAGTTAGTACTATTCTGCAGAATCCCCTTGATTCACTTAATTAATCATTATACGTGATTATTCGTTGGAAGGAGGCTCATTGACAACAGAAACGGTTAAGTTTTCGTATCTGTTCTCTTTTTTTCTTCAGTTGATGGTGCTATCAAGTTAATGGTCAGTGCACATTATTCTCTACTGTACACACGCACAATCTAGACAAAAACCCTACCTTGGAAGGTATTAAAAATCACTAAAACCAGTCCATATTTTTACATATAATAATAATAATAATAATAAACAGTTTCTATATTCATGGGTACATATTATTAACAGCGATTAATATACCTTGGAGCACTTGGATTAACCATCGGATCATTTGTTGTCGGTGGCAGTGGTGGTGGTGATGATGATGACGGATAGCCTGGATACGGTGGAGGTGGATAATTTGGTCTTGCAGCTTGATTGGATAAATTATTATTATTATCTGTACCACCACCCCAAGCAGACCCGATCTGCGTTGTTCCAGCTGCTGGAGGCACAGGTTGTGCAGGTGGATAGGGAGTACCGTTTTGAACGTAGACAACACCTTGTCCAGCCGGTGGATAAGGATATCCACCAGGATAAGAAGGTATAGGTTGAGTTGGATACATCCCAGGATACTGATTCTATTCAAGTAAGATTCAAGTAAAAAAAATATTACGGTTAGCAGATGTTTACTGTTTTGTATACTGAAAACAGAGTTACTTCTACGGAGAGAGCCAGTGAGAGGTGAACAAATTAATCTGCGAGAAGAAAGTGAAAGAAGATTAAGAGGTGAAATGGCAAAGTATAAATAAAATCAAGCTAACAACAAGTGAACTGCCGTTATCGTCAGACGAGTTAAAATTTAATTTTAGCAATGAAATTATGTAACAGATAGATAATACTACACTGGTGACTAAGCAGACTGAACGCAACCCATAGATAGTAAGAAAATTAGAAGGGTGACAAACAGATAGACATATTTGTGTCTAGAAAATATACACGCGGAAAATCCACTATGATATGTGAAGTCTAAGTAACGTTTTACATAGGCGGCATACAATAATGGAGGTTAGAATACGCTTCAGATGTGCTGAATACTCTTTATTTATTTAATTCCTTTACGTTACCAGTGGAACAATAGGGCTACTTCAAGCTAGAGGCGTGAAGTTTCGCTAGTAGCGGTGTTTATTTTTACAGGTTGGGCTTTCTGGGCCTCATGTCCAACCTTCCCTATTTACCAGTCTTATTACAGGCTTAGCGAGGTAAAAGAGGAGTGCGTCGGTGGCCCGGGGATCGAACCTCGCACCAAATGCGTGGTTAGCGAACATTCTACTGTTGTGCCATCGAGGCACACAAACACACTATCCTCATAAGATACAGCAATCAATAATTGAGATCGTCGTGGGTGAATTGATTATAGAAGACAATGACAACAACAACAACAACTAGGAAATTAGCTTAACTCATCGTCAATGACTTTTTGTTTATTCATCTGAAGCGAAATTCTCACTAGTCAACTCATCAACTCAATCGCCATCCTGTTTTTCTTTCCTCAGATACTTTGTAAGCACTTCCTTATTTTTATTCCTTCACGTTCCCCAGTGGAACATAGGGCTTCAAGCTAGAGGCTTGAAGATTCTGTAGCAGTGTTTATTTTTACAGGATGGAGTTGCAAACCTCATGCCCAACCTTTCCTCTCCACCAGCGTTTTAGTTCTGGCTTAGCGACGTAAAGGGGTGCGCCGGCCGGGGATCGAACCCCGGACCATGTGCATGGTCGGCGAGCGTACAAACCGCTATGCCACCGACGCACAAGCACTTCGTTGCATTTTATAAATTCCTCTCTCATTATTATTATTTTTTGTGCTGTTTCAAATTGCCAGAATGTGTGGATGGATTGTATTTATATTTCTGTGTAATCCCTACTTAGAACGGGTACATCTTTTCTGAACGAAATTATCATCAGTGATATGGTAACTGTACGGGAGAGAATCAAATAACAGGCGTAAAATAGCAGCTTGTTAGCCAAGGAGCATTTCTAATCTGTAGGCATCTGCGCAGATGATGAAACACCCATACACCCACACACCGTGTGCTTTGATTGATTTTCACACACGCACACACACACACCAGTTTCAGTTAATTATCACATCTCTATATCATCACCTTACCGGATTACATAACAGTTCATGTTCTACAGTGGACGAATAGTTGTTGTCATTAGATTCGGATAAACGCCTCGGTGTGCTTACCGGTTTGTAAAATGGATCTACAGGTGGAATAGGCTGTACATTTGGAATATCAACTGGTTCCATGACTACTGACTGACGTTTACGCCGACAACAACAATAGAAGAATATGCCGATTACCAGTGCCAAAAATAAAATCCCCAATAATGCACCAACCACTGCTCCTCTAAAATGTAATAAATAAAAAAAGAAAAAAATTAAGGCATACATGGAGATTACGGATTATTGAGAAAAGAAAAGAAAAGGTTAGTTGATTCGTGAATCTACATGAAATCACGCATGCATGCATGCATTTCACTGAACTTGATTGAACAAATAAAATAGAATGCTAAATAAACATTGGAGTGATAAAAAAAACAAATAACAACAACAATAGAAACGATGACTGTGTACACTCAATCAAACAGTGATGCATATTAGATGCGATGAAACTGGCTTATGACTACTGACAATATTTATCAGTAGTATGTCGAGACATGTTCCTCGGAACACAAAATTATCGAATAGCGGAGAGATAGATCTCACCTACTAGAGAAATAGACAGAGAGAGAGCAAATGAACCAGTGTATTGCTGTAAAACATTTGAGACACGAAAATAGGACAAAGGAAGACAATATGCGAAGGGTAGAGATAACACACAGCACGGAAGATCTGTGCAAATACTATTTTCAAAAGATTTTATTCCTTTACGTTCCCAGTGGAAAATACAGGCTTGAAGTTTCACTAGCTCTGGTGTTTATTTTTACGGGGGATAGGGGCTTGCTAACCTTGCGCCCGACATTCCCTGTTTACCAGTCTTAGTAGCGGCTTAGCGAGGTAAAGCAGTGTGTCATCAGGGGACTGACCGAGTAACTGGTTTTAACACAGAACTGCTTTGCACCGATGTGCAGCAGTTCCAGTTGCCACACTTCACTTAGCACACAAAGTCAGCGAGGAAAGTAAAAAGAAACGCAAAATAGAGACAGTAAACAGAGATATGAGGTAGAAAGAATAGTAATATCGAAGAACAATATACTTTCATTGAATATTATAAGTCACGAGGAGTGGATGTATCTGCGCCACTGACAATGACGATTTTGAGCCATATTGCCAATTGTGTCTCCAGCCTCCATCGGCTTTTACCGTCCCGAGGACCCCAACCAGGAAGTCGAAACATTCCTACATGACTGACTTAAACTAACTGTTGTGGTTACAGGATTTTATCATGAGCTGACATTGGTTAGAGAACCATCGGAAAACCTGGGAGTACTGGACCGCTGTTTCGTCCTAGTTTGGGACTGACTCTTCATTAGTACGCAGCCACCGGGGTTCGAACCCAGGACCTTCTGGTTACAAGGAGAGCTCGTATACCATTAAGCCACTGGGATCGGGTCCCAGTTGGTGCGTACTGATGAAGAGTCCCAAACTAGGACGAAACAGCCGTCCAGTACTCCCAGGTTTTCCAATGGTTCTCTAACCAATGTCAGCTCATGATGAAATCCTGTAACCAATCAACCGAATCACTACAAACCAACACTTGAATAACTGTTGTGGATTTAATTGACTGATCAAAGGACGTTCTTCCAAGACTCGCCATGAAGCAGTCAGCTATGAGTGGATCAAGAGGAGACCCCATAGCCACATAATCTTTCCATACGTAAAATTGTTCACTGAATTTAAATTGAATATTAAGTGTAAATCTGAGAAGTAGTTCCTTCAAGCAGTTGATAGGAAGAGGAACTTCTAGGTTGTTGCTTTCGATTTAGTCACCGATAAGGCATATTTTCTCAGCTCGAGGGATACTTGTGAACAGTGAGATAGTATCTGGAGAAAGCACATTGATATCTTTCACTGAATCGATGAAATCAAGTGTATCTTTAGGGCTAGACCATATCATATGTCTCTGCACCGGTTCAAGGATATCTGCTATTCACTTTGCGATCTGATGATTTGACTACGTCTATATTATCAGTCAAAATGGGACATCCTTATTATGTACTTTAGGCAATCCATACAGTCTTAAAATAAAAAACGGAACTGCACAGTTTTATTTGTTCATACACCTCCGACGTTATGACTGAATCTTCTTTCATTTCCTTTGGTAATTTTTTTGGGAGACTTTCTATTCTTTCTGTCGTGTCTTTCTGATTGGGTGATTTGGAGAATTTGAAATTGTCTGATAGTACGTCAGTTGATTTTTTTTGACATAATCTGCTGATCTGTTCATTACTACAATCCTATTGCCTTTATCAAGATAGATAAGGATTGTCTTTATTTTCTTGAAGTTGTTTTCTGTGTGTTGCTTCGTTAGCAGATAACGATGACTCGGTCGAGCCCGCATGTGCTTGTATCAGTCATCGGGAATTGAAGCCTTGAATTGTTCAAGATCTATATTTCAGAACTAGGTGACAAATTAAGTGTCTGTAAGACTTTAGTCTGTAATTCGTTGATTTTTCTGGACAGAGCCTTGAACTTGGATGGGAGTGACAGGGAAATTTGAAAACAGATGATGATATATTTCTCAGGATTCTGAAGAAACGATGAGACAGCTTCAGGCTTTTCGTCTGTCGGGAACTAGTATCTTCACAATGTTTTCGTATGACTTCGGATGCATACTCCTGACGGTTAAGGATAAGATTACTAGTTTCAACGTAGGAAATTGGCACAGATGTGCAGCAGTTCGAGTTGCCACACTCTACGTAGCACACAAAACAAGAGAAGAGAATAGAGGAAGATTGAAGACAGAGATAATAAAACAGGAATATGAGGCAACCTGATTTAACCCATGTCGGCTAACATTGCCCGTAGTCGAGGAAGGCGATGGATGGCTAGGCATGCATGCACTCTACCGAGGCCTAACCTCAATATTGCTCACCTTATTATACCAATTAACACCGGAGATAGAACGCAGACACTAGTATCTTAGCAACGTTTTCGTACGACATTGGATACATACTCCTGACAGTTAATCCAGTCAGTCAAGCGTTAAGGCTAAGATATTGCTTTTGGCCACCTCAGTGTGTATTTTTTTAGTTGTACTGAATTGTTCAGTGGTGTTCATTTTTCTAACCCCCCCCCCCCCGTTTTAATTACACCCACCATCTATCCAAACCATTGTGCGCCTTTATGCAGATTAGGCTGAATTAAATGGACAGATTGACCGTTGCATTGTTTGTTTACTAACGTCATTCAACAGACACTGGCTTAGCTTTAATATAGTCGTTACTTCACGTGATGGCTACTTATAAAGATGTTAATAAAAATATCGAATAATAACTACACCCACATCACTGCATCGATTTTCACAGTGATAATAAAATTATTTTAAGAAAGTACAAATCGCTTAATGTCCTCCTCACAGGATGTTCTACGGAATAAGATTTGAAAAAAAAATAGAACAAGGATGTATAAAGTTCGATGCATCTTTTGCACAAGTTCGGTGATATTTCAGTAGACTCTAATTTATTCACCTCTACATTAGCAAAATGTAGCGTTCTGATGAAACCTGTAATTCAAATACAATGAGTATTTGAGAGAAAAAAGCCTATTATTCCAATAAGCATGTCATCTCGACTGGCTGCTTTGACTAAACCTGAATACACTAACGTGAAATAAACCCCATCAGCAGAGGAGATATGTACACGAAGTCACATCTCATCCGCTTATCTAGACAGTCGGAACGGATGAAGATATCAAAGAGAGGATTGGGAAAGGAAGACGCTAAGCGTTCATTAATCTGAAACCAGTCTGTAGAGAACTACCGCACTCTGTAAAAAGGAACAAAATTCAGATGTCGTACACACTAATTACCAAGTCGGTGCTTTTCTCGGGTCTTGTGGCAAGCGCGTCACCGAAAGCATTTCTAACAACTTGCTGCAGACTCTCATTAACACTTGGCTTTGTTCGATATTGATTATCAGATGACCGGTAGGAAAGGATAAGTAACATACAAGGAAACTCTGGAAAAAAACTAACCAACAACCTAATAGCTGAACAAATACGCAGAAGAAGGTAGATATGGATTAGACATACACTGGTGTGGAGATCATCAAGCGCCAGACTAGATGATATTCTACAATGGAATGTCACAGATTTTATTATTGTTATTATTATTCCCTTGAGTTCCGAGTAGAACACATCTCGAATTTCTTCTATTCTCTGCCATTCTCTTCAGCGGGCTGATCCCACGATTGCCCATAATCTCTCATCTCCTCCTCGCCACAAGATCTTCCACATATCACCCTCGCATCGACTACCCACTCATCGCTTCCCATCTGGATTCCACTCGAGCGATGGCCTGCACTGCGCTTGATGTCATTCGACGGCCTCCTCCTTTATGGCTGTGAGACCTGGTCATTGAGAGCGGAAGACATGAAAAGATTAGCTGTCTTAGATCATACGTGTCTGCGTTCTATCTCCCGTGTGAAGCGGTATGAGAAGGTGAGCAATATTGACGTTAGGTGTCGGTCGAGTGCTAGGTAGGTAGGAGGGGAAATAAATAGACGAGGCTGTGAAATTACATCGACTGAGAGAGATGGTTAGGACATGTGTTACGTATGTCTAGTCATCGCCTTCCTCGACGGGCAATGTTAGCTGACTGATATAGGGTCAGGCTGGAAAAGAGCTAGCGAGTGGTGGTCAAACCAAAACATGGCTTCATCAGTCAATGAAATCCACAACAGTTAGTTTAATCCAGGCACGTAGGGAGGTGTAGACTTCCTGATTGGTCGGGATCCTGGGGACGGTATAACCAATGGTTGGAAACAATTGGTGACATGGCTCAAAATCGTTCTCAAAGGCTGGCGCAGATGCGTCTACTCCTTGTGACTTATGATTCCCAATGAAACTGTTTTGTTTTCCGTTATTACTATTCCTTTGTCTCACACCTCTGTTTACTGTCTCTATTATGCATTTCTCCTACTTTCTTCTCTTGGTTTGTGTGCTACATGGAGTGTGGCGACTTGAACTATAGCACATCGGTGCAAAGTTCTATGACGAAAACAGACAGACAGACAATGTATGCCTGATCCACCTCCATTTTTTCCCACATTTTTGTTGAGCGATCGGCTCTTTGTTCCCAAAGTTCTTTCTGGCTAACCATTTGATCTTCAGTATTGAGTGAAGGCAGCTGTTGATAAAAGTTTGTAACTGACTGTCGGAAATCCTTTACGTTACACGCCAAGTTTC